GAGAGAGAGAGAGAGAGAGAGAGAGAGAGAGAGAGAGAGAGAGAGAACCCCCTGTACTCATATCTGTAACATCACCGATGTAATTTGTTTTGAATGTTCATTTTTATTGGTGTTCCCCTCTGCCAAAATGTGCTTGATTACAGAGGTCTGTCCTGTGATCACTGCGCACTCCAGAAGGTGCTGCGGCGAAGGTTCAGCTCAGGCCAGATCAAATCCCGGGCTGTTTAACGCTGAAAGGCTGCATGTTGCTATTAGTGTTAAATATATGGCTAATTATGCGTATGAAAATTAAACATCAGTGTTATGCTAATGGGGCGCCTTCAGCTGCGGATCTGAGCACTTGAGACTACCATTTAATCAAATGAATCAGTAACTAATACGTGTGCACGTGTGAACTTTCACAAGATCGTTTCCCCGTTCCCCGTCACACCGCTAAATTATGAAAGAAATAATTATCAACACTTTCTAATTACCTAACAAAGTAATTTGGGATTCATCGTGGGACTGGCGGGATTGGGAACCAACAGTCCCTAGCAACCAGCGTAGTTTGCGCCACACAGCGCCGCGCGGGGTGGCTGTGTGGTAGTAGTGGTGGGTGGGGGCGAGAGGGTCTTTTGTGCACTTTTCAATACGGAGGTAGACAGCGCCTTGGCAGCTTTTGCCTGCACCAGCGCCCCTCGACGCACCCCCGGTCTGGAGGCGCCAGCTTTGGCCACTGGAGGTGAGGGAGAGAGACTGGGCGATAAAGAGGGGTATGTCTATACATAAATATTCGAGCCTACCACAGATCTGGATTTGCTGAGGGTTTCGGCGTCCCCCTAGGACTCCCAAACCCCAAGTAGTCTGGCCAGACCCCAGGAGGTTGGAAAATGACCACCTGGCGGGCGTTCGACGCTCCAGCCGCCAGGCGCCCACAGGTCCCCAGACTTCACGCTGCGCCGCGCCCTTGGGGCGAGTGAGCCCCGGGCGCACGGCTCAGGGGGAGTGGAGAGGGGAGGGGGGGGAGACAGGAAGGTTGGGAGGGAAACGGGGGGAGGGAGAGGCGGTGCGGCCGCCTTTCCTGGGAGGAGAAGCGCGGGTTCCTGGCTCTCCACGCGCACTGCTTTCTTTGATCAGACCGGTGCAACCTGGAACCGGAGTGGCCAGTCGGGCCTGGAGAGATGCGAGCAAGCCCCTGGGAGCGGTGGCAGCGGCGGGGCGGCGGCCGAGTGAGTGAGTTGGGCCGGAGGGCCCCCAAACCCCGATCCCCGGGATGTGGCCGAGAGGACCCCGGCCTAGGAGGCGCGGCCTGGAGCGCGTTGAGCTAGGCACAGGACGCTCGGGAGAACCGCTGGCTGCTGGCTGCCTGGATTGTCTCCTAGTGCACAACCTCGCGAACCAGAGAGACCGCGGCCAGACGGGAGCAGCGCTCCTCACCGGACTGGGTGACCGCGAGAAGAAGTGGTCCGGGGTCCCAGGAATTGGGGGCGGGAGAAGGGTGGGGACAGCAAGGGGGAGGGCGACGGCAGGGAGCCGCTGGTTGGTTTCTGGGGCGGGAAACGCGCGAGGGAGGCGGGAGGCTGGAGTCGCGGGCCTCCAAGGTCCCTGCGCGGGCGCCGCAGCCCATTGTGCTTCACGCTCCGCGCGCTCTGTTGCAGACGAGCCCCGGCCGGGACGCGTGGACCCGACTCTCCCCAGGCCGGGCCGCGTCGCCCGCTCTAGTCCAGCCGAGCCCGAGCTTTTCGGACCAATCCCCGGTGATTATGCAAGAGAGCCGACCAATCAGCTCCACCAGCTCATGAATATTTATGACCTTGGTTGAGTCAAAGCTTTGAACCGAGTTTGGGGAGCTCGGCAGCATCATGCTTAGACTTTTCAAAGAGACAAACTCCATTTTCTTATGAATGGAAAGTGAAAACCCCTGTTCCGCTTAAATTGGGTTCCTTCCTGTCCTGAGAAACATAGAGACCCCCAAAAGGGAAGCAGAGGAGAGAAAGACCCACACCCAGACCCCGCGAGAAGAGATGACCATGACCACCATGCCAGAAAGTCTCAACAGCCCCGTGTCGGGCAAGGCGGTGTTTATGGAGTTTGGGCCGCCCAACCAGCAAATGTCTCCTTCTCCCATGTCCCACGGGCACTACTCCATGCACTGTTTACACTCGGCGGGCCATTCGCAACCCGACAGTGCCTACAGTTCGGCCTCGTCCTTCTCCCGACCGCTGGGCTACCCCTACGTCAACTCGGTCAGCAGCCACGCGTCCAGCCCCTACATCAGTTCCGTGCAGTCCTACCCCGGCAGCGCCAGCCTCGCCCAGAGCCGCCTGGAGGACCCAGGTACGTGCGCTTGCCAGGGACAAGGAGAGGAGAGAAGGGAAGACTAGGAGAGAGGGAAAGAAGAGGAGGAAAGAGAGAAGACAAG